CGGGTGGGGGTGTGGGTGTGGGTGTGGGGCTGGGTGGGTGTGGGTGAAGAGAAGACTGAATCGACACCCACACTCCACACGCACAGCCACATCCACACCTACACCCACACCCATACCCACACCTACACCCACACCCACACCCACACCGACACCCCACATCCACACCCACACCCACACCCACACCCACACCCACACACTACCCACACCCACACCCACACCCACACCCCACACCCACACCCACACCCACACCCAAAATCCCCCTAGCGGGGTACAGGGTTTCTGAGAATAACATGTTACAGGAAGAGGCCTGGAGGGGGGTAGGGGAATTTTTGAAAAAAATGTTTTTTCTGAAAACTTTTTTAAATGCAGAAACAGACTCTTTGAGAAAAAATAAATTTTTTCGAAAACGCCCAAAATTTTGTTGAAAAAACATTTTTTCGAAAAAAAATTTCAGGTGTTTTCGAAAAAAATGTTTTTTTCTCAAAAAATCGGTATCTGCGTTTAAAAAAGTTTTCGAAAAAAATTTTTTCAAAAATATTAGTTGCGGACCACCACGGACACACAGGCAATCTTTGAGTTCCCGACTTTTGGGAATTTGGCCAGGCCTCATGATAGGTAATGCTACTAGCATCCCAGGTAATGCTACTAGTATCCCAGGTAATGCTACTAGCCTCCCAGGTAATGCTACTAGCATCCCAGGTAATGCTACTAGCTTCCCAATTAATGCTACTAGCATCCCAGGTAATGCTACTAGCTTCCCAATTAAAGCTACTAGCATCCCATGTAGTTCCTTCAGGGAATTGAAAATTTGGAGTTTACAGGGTGCCGAGGTCTTTGTGTTGACCCTGAACTTGATGACCTGAAGCGAGGTCAATGAGTAAAACGTGGATGCGTAAGTGAGCTTCAAATTTGGAGTTTACGCAGTTTGGAGCTCACTTTTTATGACCCCGAATTAATTCAAAAAAAATGTAACTTTTGGGTTGATTCGTCCCACCGCATGTTCCAACAAAACTATTCAGTGTTTCAAATAAAACTCGATAAGTCTTATCAAATAGCGAAAACCGCACACAACTAGCATGCTCTGTTCGCGAGATATCTGTAGCCAAGCTATGTCATAACATCTAATAACTAAACTGCAAGCAAATTTTCTTATTCTTTACGTCGATTCGCCTGACATAGGATTTCAACCAATATAAACAATTTCCCAAGTAGAACTCAAAGAGCTCTATCTGGTGGCGAAAACCGTATCTCAATAGAATAATGTTTTGGAACCGTAGGCCTGATTTTCAAATCCAATTTTCTTATTTCTGCAGTATTTCTTGGACCGATTCGCCTGAGAGAATGTTCCAACAAATGTAAAATGTGTTCCAAGTGCTTTTTGATGTTCTTTATTCATGGGTGAAAATTGCATATCGATAGAATTCTCTGTTCTTGCCGAATAGATGATACGCCCACGCAATTAGCCATGTGAGGTCCTATTTATTGCGCTGACTCACTTGGAAGAATGCTTCAACAAAAGTATTCTGTGTTTGAAGTGTTATTCAAGATGCTCTATCGGATAGCAAAAATTGTATCTCAATACCATCATTTGTTTTCTTCGAATAGAGGATACAATAGCTGAATTAGTCGTCCCTCGCGCTATTTGTTATGCTGACGCACTTGAGAGAATATTCCAACAGGGGTGCAAATCTTCGAAGTGAGATTTGATGAACCATATTCATTTGTGGAAACCATACCTGAATAGCATCCTCTGTTACCATGAAAGTAGCAAACGATCGGTCGAATGCGTCCAACGGCTTTTCAGCACTACACTGGCCACCCGAAG